TCTTTCAGCTGTAACTGTAGCTGCTGTAGCTGTTTCAGCTGTAATTGTAGCTGCTGTAGCTGCTGTAGCTGTTTCAGCTGTAATTGTAGCTGCTGTAGCTGCTGTAGCTGTTTCAGCTGTAATTGTAGCTGTTGTAGCTGCTGTAGCTGTTTCAGCTGTAATTGTAGCTGCTGTAGCTGTTTCAGCTGTAATTGTAGCTGCTGTAGCTGCTGTAGCTGTAGCAGGATCAGAGTATTGATGTTGTGGATTCTCTCCTTCATCATCATGTTTTGTCCTCACTTTATCTCCTCGCAGGGCTTCTTCGTCTCAGTGTTTTACTGCTTCCTAAACAGTGAGGTAAGCAGATTTACATCGATTCAATGTTTCATCTTCTCCCCGGTGACACACAGGCACATCCTCGGGCGCGCCCACTCACACTGTTTGTTGTGTTTTCACAGCTGGAGGAACGTTTATTTAGGGCACAATTAGGACTTGTCATGTGCCGACATAAGTGACATCACTTTCTACACTGCGTGACGGTGTCAGAGCTCGTTTGGTTCAGAGGGGAGCGAGCAGGAATAGCGTGTCAGAACAACACGACACACGAGGAGGCGGCTTTCTTTTAATGTCGTTTCAATTCCAGGCAGCAGGTTCAGTTTGACTGTGTGTGGAGCCGACAGTTCAGAGCTAATCTCAACAATTATTACTGTACCTGTGGGATGTTTGAACAGCTTCATTTRAAATAAAACATCTGATTCGTTTTGATGGGATAGACAAGCTAATCTGTAGCCAAAGCTTGGTTATGCTAGCAAGGGGCAGCTAAAAGTGTAAAGATSTAGCCAAGAGTGGCCAAAAATAGCCAAATACCAGCTAGAGGCAGCTAAAAATGACAAAAGKCTAGCTAAAGACAYTCTAAARTGGCAAAAAGCTAGCTAGAGGTGCCTTAAAGTGGCAAAAGGCAGTCAGAGGCAGCTATATGTGGCAAAATGTTGGCTAGAGACAGCTAAAGGTGGTGATAGGCTAGCAGGTGGTGGTTAAAAGTGGCAGAAGACAGCTAGAGTTGGCTAAGTGTGACAAAATAATAGCTAGAGGTGAATAAATGTGGCAAAAGGATAGCTGGTGGCAGCTAAAAGTAGCAGAAGGCAGCTAGAGGCGGCTACATGAGGCAACAGGCCAGCTAGAGATGGCTAAAGGTTGCAATGGGCTAGCTGGATGCAGCTAAASGTAGCAAAATATCAGCCAGAGGTTCTTAAAAGTGAAAAAGAAAAGGTCGGCTAGAAGCAGCTAAATGTGGCAAAAATAGTTAGAGGGGYACTAACCTGGCAAAAGACCAGCTAGAGGTGGCTTAAAGTGGAAAAAGGCTAGCTAGAGACAGCTAATGGTGGCAAAAAGCTAGCTAGTAGCTAGAAGTGGCAAAAATATTGTTAGAGGTGACTAAAATTTTTCTGGAGTAGATTTGAAAACGATTTTTTTAGGAAAATAAGACATCTGTATGTATTTCTATTTTGCAGGGACATTATTTGCAAGTAATGTTATAAATTTTAAAAAGTACAAAAATGTACAAAAAGTCATTTTCTGAATGAGCTGAAGCTTTGTAACGTAAACGGCTAAAGTAGCAGCGGTTGGRTCAATTATAAACAGGAAGCTGTCAGCCTGGATGCTGAGTCAGCACTAACACAACTAAGTATTTGAACTTCCGTAGAATATTTATGGTTAATTTGTTAGCAGGAAGGTGGAGTAATTTGATTTTTAAGATTTTTAATGGACTTAAACCTATAGGGGCAGCTTGATATGACAAATCCAATCATTCCCGCCAAAGTTTGGATCAATMACCTCTTTGCTAAACAGACTTTAATTGTGTCAGCTGAGCCACAAGCAGCCCAGCAAGGTGAATGTGAGTCAGAAAGATCCGATTCAGAACCGAGCCACAGAAATAAATCATCCCCGGTTATTCCTCGAGCAGCSTGTGGACGTCCGGATGACGAGCAAATCTCTCATCAGCCGAACAAAGACCCGAACGCGTTTCCCTCTGAGGATATTGATTAGTGGTTTGTTAGAGAGCGAGGAGGAATAACGGCTGTGGTCACATTCACAAGAGACCGAAAACAGTGAGTGCGAAAGATTTAATCCTGGTTTAGGTTCTGAAAATGATCAACTCTTAAAAATCATTTCAGGYGTTTTTATACAGATCTGCTGTTTTAGATGAAGCTTAGAGTAAAAAAAATTACTTTTTCTGCAGAAACAGAGCTGAACGACAGCTGAAATGTGCTGAAGAAGCAGAAACTGAGTGGCTAATTAYAAGAAAAACAGAGGCTAAATGAGCTGAGCAGAGACTAAAAGCAGCAAATCCGTATCTGAAACAAGCAGGAAAGTAACTAAACTCTAAAGGCAACAAAACACCAGCTACAGGCTAAAAGCTAACACTAGCTAACAGCTAAAAGCAGCAATATCATTAAAAGGAACTGAACAGCTTCTAAAATCAGTTGTTAAAATAACAGAATAGTCACTAAAAAATGCAAAGCAAATGTTAAATTAACAAAGCAGTGGCCAAAAATAATAAAACTAATGCTTAAAGTGGGACAACGCTAAATAAAACAAGATGTAAAATGAGTAAAACTGTAAGTAAATGTAATAAAATAGAAGCCAAATTAGCTAAAAAATGATTAAAATTACAAAATAGTTGCTAAAATATACATAACCAATTCTAAAATAAATTAGCAAAGCCGTAACTAAAATTAGTTAAACAGATGCTTAAGCTAAAWTTAGTTTAGCAGCAGCTAAAGCAGTAAAAGTAATTCTAAAAGTGGAAAATGCTATGCTAAAGCTAAACTGAAGCAAAACACTTCTTAATATTATTAAAACTGTGGCTTTAAGGTAAAATAAGCAGAATGGTGGCATAAAATAGCAAAATGGTAGCTACAAGCWATGTAACAGAACTGCAGCTAAAAGCTAAAGACAACTAGCGATAAATGTAAAGGTAACAAAACATCAGCTGCAGACTAAAAGCAGAACATGACCTAACAGCTAAAAGTAGCAGTATTGTCAGCAAAATGAGCAACTAAGTGCTAAATTAGCTAAACAGGTGTTAAAATTACAAGTCATTAAAATTTTCAAATCCATTGCTAAAGCTAAAGATAGCAAAGCAGTAGCTAAAGTAGCTAAATTTATGTTTAAAGTAGGAAATGCTATGCTAATGCTAAAGTGGGCTAAACACAATCTAAAATTAGTGGCTAAATGTWGCAAAACAGATGCTAAAGCTAAAATCTGCTAAACATTAGCTAAAATGAGCATAGCTGTAGCTTTAAGGTAAAAGAAACAGAACGATAGTAGAAAGTAGCAAAAGGGTAACTATAAGCTAAGTAGGAGAATCACAGCTAAAAGCTAACTTATAGCTAAAAGTAGTGTAAATGACAACAACTAAACCAACAACAATTCCTTTTTTCAGCATCACAAAGTGTTTGTTTACCTTGATGGTTTGTTGTTGTTTACAGGTTCGCTCGGCCGTTAGGAAGCGGTTCCACCGGTGGCAGGAGCAGCACTCCATCCGGGCCAGGATGACCCAGGCCATGTCCATCCCGACCTCACCTTCACGGGTCAGYTTTCACAGCATCAAGCAGTCCACGTCGCTATGAAAGAGGAGACYGACCCGGCCCGGATCAAGAAGAACCTCCAGCTGTCGTTGTCATCGTCTTTCTGCCACATCACTGGAGAACTCTAAAACCCACTCTGAGCTGGGACAGAGTCTGTCCTCTGAGCCTCAGGAGGGACATTACTCAGACATTCTGGAGGGACGAGGGGACGGGACTCTGCAGACTTTGCAGTTTGAAAGGTCAGAAGATGAGTGAGCCGGTGTCTGACCTGGAGTTTCTGTCTGAATGTGCAGAACTTTTTCTTTTTGCTTCGCTCATCAGTGCAAAGACTTAACTGGAACTCATCCCGGCGGGGACCCGGTCAGGCGGACAAACTCGTTAAATGTTCAGACYTTTGTTCTCGTTTTGGTTGTCGTGTTTCTTATGTTGATGTTGTGACGTCRTCCTCTGTTTGTGCGGCGGAGCTTCTTTCAACGACTTTCCAAGAATCACATCATTCCAGATTCCTATATAAAGAGTTTTGTTCCCTGATAACAGAAAGTGTTATTAAACTGSTGGTTGGTGGGCCAGAGGTGGCTCCTCCTGGGGAAAGACATAATGAAGGTTAATCGATGCTCATTATTTTGACCCAGATATTTTGCTCAGTAAATCACTTCCTGGATGAAAACCAACCAAATCCAGGAGAGCTGGCCCCTGTGATGGCTGCCAAGTTTCCATCTATTTGTGTTTGTGTGGATCCAGGGCATTTTTTAGATAATGTGGCCTAAATTTATACAAGAACCAGACCTGGTTTATTTGCAGCACCTGGCCTCAGGAGGATTTTAATCCAAATGAAGCCTGAGTTAGATTATTTCTTCTTGAGTGCTGGATTTAGACAAAATGCAGCTCTGTTTCTAAACCTGGGGCACATTAGATGGTGGGCAAATGTTCCCAAAAAATCCATTTATTTTAGTTAAAAACAAACATTTCTGTGACTGAAAAGAACAAATGTTGGGTTTTTTCAGATTTAATTTGGATTTTAAAGGAAAAGTTGTTCTTAAATCTGCACTTTGGTTTATTTGTTGGCCTCACAGCAGCAACATTAACTGTAAAATAGCCATCTTTCTGTAAACACAAATAAATCAAACAATAACTTAAAATATTTATAGAAATACATTGTTTGTAAATATTATGTAAATAATATATGTCACCAATAGACAAATATATTGCCCATAAGGAAAATACAGGTAAATTTGTAGTTACTCTTAATTTTACTGTTTAATTAAATGTTGGTTTATTCAGTAAACATTCAGCTAACAGCTAACGTGTTCTCCATTAGGGAGGCTGAGGCCCCGCCCCTCCAAATAAGGCAGCTCTTCTCTGATTGGTCAGCTCCAATGGCATAATCCTGCTCTGCCTATCAGAGAGCAAATCAGCTAACATTTGTAATTTGATCCTGATGTTTTGTTGAGTGAATAATCCTGTACAACCAATCATGAAGACGTTATTAGCTGCGTTTCCATTGCAAATGTACGCAAAACTTTGTCGATATTCTGTTAAYGTAAAAAAAACACAGTTTGGCAATTGCGATGTTTCAATTAAGTAAGAAATGCTATTTAAKTCACGCGTGAATACGTTTGTTCTCGTGACAAGTCATTACAAACATGGCGGCAATGGATGTAAACAAATAGCATGTTGCTACCACGACACTAGCACTCATCATCAGAGGAGACGTTGGCGTCTTATCGAGGCCATCGAGCGACAAGCCCCTTATACTTGGGAGCGGCCACGTATGCCGTGTTTTTGGGAAATTGTAGTCGGTGAGTTTACTACTTTCTTTTACAACTTTGGTGACTTTACTACTATTTCTATTCCCGTCATGCAAAAAAAGTGTTTCCATTGCAGTTTTGCGAAACACACCAATTTCGATACGGCCGAAAAACCACCTCATCCTAGCGCAAAAACATTTTGTCGAAAAAAGGATGTTTTTTTCGAAATTGACGTGTTTCCATTGAGCAAATTTATTTTCAAAATTCGAATTTGTGCATTTAACGCAGCTATTGTTATTAATCCTGGAGGGTTTCTGCAGCCTTAACTGATCTGCTCTCTGATAGGCGGAGCCTGATCATGCCACTGGAGCTGACCAATTAGAACAGACTGGCCTGATTTGGAGGGGTGGGGCCTCCGTAACAGAGACCATGTTAGCTGTTAGCTTTTTAGTTGTTTTAAAGGAACATTCACAGCGAGGTTTTGTTAATTTACTGAATAAATGAACTAAAGCATACAATTAATGAAACAGAAACATAAAACAAAAGTTGTAATCAATACATTTTAACACTGATTTGAGCTTCATAAATTAACACTGTTCCTCATGCAGAAAGTTCAATATCTTTGGATTTATTAGTCAGAATAATAAATAAATATATACTGTAAATATTTGATCATTTTAAAAAGTTTAATAAGCAGAAAGCATGATAAAAGATTTAAATTTACCTCCAGGCTGAAATTCAGCTTTTTGCTGCTAAAATTCCAGTTGCTTTCGTCTGCGTCACTCGTTGTGTCTCAGTTAGAAAACTGAACCAAATCATTCAGTTTACCAGCCAAAAAACCAAAAACAAAGAGCTGCAAGTTACTAAACTCAGGTGAGCTGCAGAATGACCCAAAACGAGGGGAAAGTGGAGTTTGAACAAAGAGACACAATCTTGTTGCCTGAACACCAGCAGTAGGAAAATGTTTCTGTTCGTATCGAGTGGCTTCTGTGACTTGAACTGTGACACAAAGTAACTTTGTTTACTGGTTACTTGTACAAATATAAATATTAGAGCTGGGGTGATTAAAAAAACGGGGTCATCACAAATACAGTATAAACCAAAAACACAAACCACACAATGTAAATCATGTGATCAACACGTCCACATTCCCTCCACCTGAACCTCCACCTTAGCTGCTGCTGCTGGATTTATCAGATTGTAAACAAAAACTCCTCTATTTACCATCCTTCGTTTTTATTTCATTCTGTTGCAAAGTGACTATGGTATCCAAAATATGGCTGAAAACATTAAATCAAATAATTTAAAACACCTGACTTTCAAACATCACCACAATGTTTGGTATTCTGTTAGCGAAACGGCTGTTTTCAGCTCAATTAAGCCTTTTTGATTAAAAAAAAAAACATGTAGAGAAAGTAACCAAGCGAATAAGAAATTTAAAGGAATATTATAGATCTTTTGAAGTGTAATGTGGAAAGTTTATGAACACAAGCTAACGGCGGGTGAGCACAGTTCCGCTAATGTTGGCACTAGCTTCTCATTTAGAGGATTAGCTTTTTTGCTAACTTTGGAAACTGTTAGCCGACCGTTTAACGTCCGTTAAATTAGGTTCTGCTAATTTTAAGTGCACTAAAAAAATTCACTAGTGTTAAAGTTCTATTTTAATGCCATTTATTCCTAGTTAAATAAAAACAATCCCCTCTTACAAGCAGTCCTGGACGTGTGTGTAGCATGTAGCATCTTTAGCAGATAAACTTCAAACTGCGAGCATCAAAAAGAAATTTAACATTTAACAATATTTAAATTACAAATACAAAAACTGACAAACTTCAAACAGTATTTATAAAAATATAAACTCAAAGAAATGCTTTTATTTTGAAAGAGTTAAACTGGAAGTATCACAATGGCTGATTTCCTTCAATTTATACTAATAGAAAACTAAACAGGTTTGTGTCAGTCCCACCAGTCTTCAAATGGAAGGACAAGACAGTCCTCTAAGTGTTTAGCTTTGGCTTCCACTAATATTTTTATCCATTTAGCAGATTAGCATTAGCAGAACTAAGCTAATTGTGGCTAATGGCTAATCCAGGTGAGGCTGAATCAAGTTAAACCAACTCTAATCTCATAATATTTCATATCTGTTCATGCAAACACCATTAAATGTCTTTTACATTACCAGACGTTTTACATTACAGTTATTTACACATAGTTATTTGCAAATAGCGCTAGCAGCAGATAGCTAATAGTACTATATTGTGGAACCAACAATGATTTAAAGGTTGTTTGCATGAACCGCTTTAAAACTTTTGAGATTAAAGTTGTTTTAAAACTGATTTTTTTTTCAAACTGAGATTGTTTAACAGAACTATCTACAGCAGGTAAGATATTCTTTTTAAAGCCTTTCTACAGAAACGGGCTTTAAAAGATCTAAACTATTCCTTTAATGTTATGAAATCCAGATTTTAACGGTAGAAACTCACAGCCTTCTGTTTGATGTCATCCCAGTGTTTGGTCACCATGTTGGTCTTGTGGTATAAATGGTGAAGCACCAGATTAACACCATTATTTATTGTTATTTATTATTTGAAATATTGTTATTTTCATACTTGAAAGAAAAAGTGTCAAGAGACAATAAACTGTGTTGCATTTGACTGAATGAAAATCTGAGGTTTTTATTCGTGGAGCTTCAAGGAACCATGTTCAGGTTTTGTCTGGACCGTCCCCTTGAGACAACAGCAAGCAGTACATTTTGAGTGTCGTGTGATTCTCTTCAGCTTTGTCTCTGAGGGAAACATCGGCTTTTAAATCACATCTTTCTGCCCGACTGCACAGACGCCGTTTTCTCCAACAACACGGGGCTTTTACCAGCAAAACAAAAACGTGTAGAAAACAAAGCACAAGTTGCAAAAAAAAATGGACTGTGACAGTTTTCACGAGGGTTTCGGGGGTGGATTTAAGGCTCGTGGCGCCACTGTGATGCTTAATTAGATGTGAACTTTCATGCGAACGCTTAAAGGGAACAACAGGGTTAGTCTTCGCTCGCAGGGCCGCTGCAGGGCCGCGATTACAGATTTATGTTTACAGTCAGGGGTTCCAGCTCCAGAACTCATCTTTACAGTTGGAAATGACTCAACTCCTGCTCTCATTAGTGGCTTCATTCGTTATGTCATTATTATTTGTGCAGAGAAGCACGCAACTCATTAACACACCAGAAAAAAACACTTTTCTATTTAGTTTTTAATTACAGTAAACAGTGGAAAAAGCAGATGGTTTGACAAGCCAAAGTGTAATAAAGAAGAAAGTCTTCTCAGTAGGATTTATCGTTTTTAGTACCGGTCAAGAACTGGGTCAAATTTAAAAAAATATATATATATTATTTCTGTTTAAATCACTTGAGACAAACATATAAAAGTGAGAAAATCAAATGATATTCTCAGTGAGGAAAGCAAACTGTTAATGATGGGCACAGCTAACCAAACAGCTAGCTTCCTTAATCCGCTAAACAGAATCTTAGCTCTACTAACGCTAAATCGGTAAACAGATAAAAATTTAGCAGAAGCTAATGCTAACCGCTAAGACACCAATCAGTCCTCTCCTTCCTGTTGAAGACTGGTGGAACTGAAGCTAACCTGTTATTAGCTTTCTATTGACAGTGGTGGGCACAGTTCCCCTAAAGCACTAATTGGGAAACTAATTTCCTGATTAGTGCTTTAGGGCTTTTGCTATTTTTTAAATTCATTAGTAGCACTCGCTAAATTTAGTCACTTGTCCACWAGGGGACATATTGACAGTGATTATTGACAGTATCCTGCACACAGTAATATTGTCTCATGTTGACTCTGAAGAATGTTCAATGGGTCAAATGGGTTATWTTAGTGCTTTAGAATAAACTTTTSCTAAATGTTTTWGTGCRTTAGTGCTTTAGAATTAGGGGACCTAAATATTTTAGTTAGTGCTTTAGGGTTAGTGCAACTAATCTTTAGATTAGTGCTGCCCACCACTGTCTATTGGTTTAATTTGAAGGTGGGTGGGATCATCTGTGGCAAATCGGCCAATCCAAACAAGAGTTATAGCTCTGTACCCTTTCAAAATAAAAGCTTTTCTTTGATCGAGTTTATGTTTTTTTTTATAAATACTGTTTGAAGTTTGAAATCAAGCAACAAAAAGAAAATACTTTCTCCACCATATTTCAGTCTATTTTTATATTTGTTATTTACATATTGTTAAATGGTATTTTATTCATTTTTGTTGCTCTAAACTTGAAATTTAGCTGCTAAAGATGCTACAGTGCCTGACACATTAGCACTGCTCGTAAGAKACGCMGTTTTTATTTAGTTTGGGATAAATAGCATTAAAATAAAAGTTCAAGACTTGTGAATTTGTTGGTGGGCTT